CTTTACAATCAGTCCTGATAACAATTATTCGCTATTGTATCTTAGGAGACCTATCCTCATTTCCTTTCATCAGCCCTGACTAGGCAGAATGGATACTACTCAGTGGAGATTCTACCTTGCTCCACATCCTCTGGATCTAGGTTCCCTCTTGAAAGCTTGTAAGCCAATCACTTCTTGCCTCTGTAGCCCCTATTCTGGGTAGCCAATGTCCAAGTTGTCAATCTGTCCTCTCTGTGTGCGGAGGAGGTGGGAATGGTCCTCTCTGTGAAGATTTGTTCACTCTTTTGAGCTATTGCTTCTATAGGTGCATGTCAAGTTCATTAAATTGTATCAGATTATTATTATTCTTGAACACTTAAAAGAGGTCTTTTGCAGCAAATTTGCCTAATGTAAAACATTGTTTGATTTCTTGGTTGCTGCATCCACAAGTATTGATTGTGGATTCAAGCAAAATGAAATATTTGATAACTTTTCTCTGTTTACCATGATGTTATTTATTGGGCCAATTGTGAGGGTTTTGTTTTCTTTGCATTGAGGTGCAATCCATATTGAAGGCTGTAGTCTTTGATCTTTATCAGTATGTACTTAAAGTCCTCTTTTCCAGCAAGGAAAGTTGTGTCATCTGTATATCACAGGTTGTCTTCCTCCAATGTTGATGCTACATTTTTCTTCATATAATCCAGTTTATCCAATTATTTGTTCAGCATACAGATTGAATAAGTATGGTGAAAGGATAACCATGGCACCCAGCTTTCCTGATTTTAAACCATTCAGTATCCCCTTGTTCTATTCAAATGACTGCCTCTTGGTCTATATACAGCTTCCTCATGAGCACAATTAAGGGTTCTGGAATATCCATTCTTCACAGTGTTACCCATAGATTGTTATGGTTCATACAAATGAATGCTTTTGCATATAGTCAATATAGCACAAGTAAACAACTTTCTGTACTTTTCTACTTTCCTCCAAGATCCATCTGATATCAGCAGTGATATCCTTCATTCTACTCCCTCTTCTGAAGCCAAGTTGAATTTCTGGCAGCTCCCTATCAATGTACTGCTCTAACCATATTTGAATAATCTTCAGCAAAATTTTACTTGCATATGATATTAGTGATATTGCTTGATTTCTGCATTCTATTGGGTCACCTTTCTTTGGAATGAACACAAATATGGGTCTTTCCCATTGGGTTGGTCAAGTAACTGTCTTCCAAATTTCTTGGCATAGATAAATAAGGACCTCTAGTGCTGCATCAGTTTGTTGAAACATTTCAATTTGTATTCTGTCAATTTCAGGAGCCTTTTCATCAGTGTCTTCAGTGAAGCTTGGAATTATTGCTTTAATATCGCTGGTTCTTGATTATGTGCTACCTCTTGAAATGACTGAACATCAATCAATTATTTTTAGTATTATGACTCTGTATATTTCTTGCATCTTCTTGTGATGCTTCCTACATCCTTCAATATTTTGCCCGTTGTTGTTGTTGTTAAGTGCTGTTGAGTCAGTTCCAACGCATAGCAACCCTGTATAGGGTTTCAGAGGAGCAGCTGGTGAGTTTGAATTGCTGACCTTGCGGTTCAAACCGGCCTTGTGGTCCAGTGCTTATCCTACAATGCCATATAGAACTTGAATTTTTTTTCTTCAGTTCTTTCAGTGCTTCCTTTTTGGCTTTCTAACTCAAGTTTTTGCACACTGCATTATAATTCTTTACTTTGTCTTCTTGAGTTCCCCTTAAAAACTTTCTGTTCACCTCTTTTACTTCATCATTTCTCTGTGTTCAAAAGTAAGTTTCAGTCTCTTCTGACATTCGTTTTGGTCTTTTCTCTCTTTCCTGTCTTTTTAATGACCTTGCACTTTCTTCATGAATGATATTCTTGATGTCATCCCATAATTCTTCTGGTCTTTAGTCATTAGTGTCTAATGCATCAAATCTGTTTTTGAGATGGTCTTTAAATTCAGATGGGATACTCAAGGTCATACTTTGGCTCTTATGGACTTTTTGTTTTCGTCAGCTGCAGCCTGAACTTACATATGAATAATTGATGGGTTTGTTCCACAATCATCAACTGGCCTTGTTTTGGCTGATGTCACTGAGTGTCTCCATCATCTCTTCCTACAGATGTGGTCAGTTTGATTCTGTGTATCCCATTTGGTGAGGTCCAGGTGTATAGTTGCCACTTACATTGTTTAAAAAAGGTATTTGCAATGAATAAATCATTGGTCTTGCAAAATTCTATCATGTGATCTCCAGCATTGTTTCTATCACCAGAGCAGCTGTATTTTCCAACTGCTGCTCCTTTCTCTTTGTTTCAGATGTTCCCATTCCAGTTACAAGTAATTATCAATACATCTTGACCAGCATATAGCCCCTCTCCCTCCCTGAGTCTAAAGTCCCCAGCTGCTCCATCTCTCCACATCATTGTCTCTGCCTCCATTTCTGGTGTCACTTCTTCTCTGGATAGGATCCCGCACTTCGCTTTTCTCCCTTTTTGGTTCCAAGGATCTCTGCTCCCAGACTGCAAAATCAGCCACTCCCCTCCTTTTGTTACAAAACATCTACCTTTACATTTCCAACACTCACTGTCAGTCCTGATAGCAATCATTCACTATTGAACCACAAGAGTCTTATCCCCATCTCCTTTCATCAGCCCAGTCCAGACAGGTTGGAAACCACTCAGTGGAGATTCTACCTTTCTCTGCACCCTATGAAACTAGGTTCCCTATTGAAAGCTTATAAACCAATCACTTCTTGACTTTATAGCCCCCCATTTTGGGTAGCCAGTGTCTAAGTTGCCCATCCCTGTTGACCCTATGTACCAAGGGGGTGGGGATGATCTTTGCTGTAAAGATTTGTTCCCTCCTTTGATCTATGGCATCAACAAGCATAGGTCAGGTTCATCAAATTGTAGCAGATTACTCTTTTTTTCCTCTTCTTTCTTCCTCTAGTCGAGTTCTGATCATCCAGCCATTGAAGCCAGGTAAAGTGTACTATCTGCAAGTATGGGTGTTCTTGTACATCTTCTCTCACTTCATATCAGCTGGATGCTTCACACTCCGCTCTGGTCTTCTGTAGCCATGTCCCTGTCCCTGGGCCCAGGAGTCCCCAGGTCTCGTTATACTGATGGTTAACCAGGTCTCAATCCAGGTTAACAGGAGTCTATTGAATGTGGTCAGACCCAGCTCACAACTTCATTGCTGTTTTTCCCCCACTTCCCCTTATTGGTGACCAATGTGGTCAGCAGCAAGCCTACATGCCTGCTTGTGTATTACCCTTGAGTTCTTGGCAGGAGATTTGCTCTGAGGGGACCTGACCACTCATCTTGATGGCTCCTGGGGGATTGACTTGTTTGTTCTTATAGTTGTCAATCTACTGGTTGGCTGCTGGTCTTTCTTTCAAGAAGCATCCTCTGTTCTTCTAGCCACTTCAGGCTGGTCTGCTTGTCCTTTAGAGTAGACATTTCCCATCTCAGAAGATTCTGGATGGGGTTCAGGTTTCCACTTGTGGTCTTATGTAATGCAAAGGCTCCGCAGGAAGCCTCCTTCACTGGGCAAGTTCTAGCCCCAGTTTAGGTATTCCAGTCAGTTAAAGGCAGAAGATAGACTTACAAGCTTTCTATGGTGATGTTTCTGGCTATTCCTTTCTCTCCCCTTCAAGTGTGTATTTTACAATAGTAGGTAAGGGAAACCAAGATTCAAAAGACAGCCTAGCATCTTAACATTACTTCTCCCCTTTTACCCATTCAAACCATGCCTCAGTCCTTATATCCCAGACAAACACAATTCTATTAAGCATTACTGGTTCATAGAATTCTCACCTTCTGTGAGGGAACTTGGTTCGAATAATGACCATTGCCCCTCATCCATAGCCACTAAAGTCCTAGTAAGGACTTTTTCTTTTAATGACTTTGGACTTCTCAGTGCTACTTCTCACTTTCTCATTCTGCTTCTCCAAATTGCTAGCTATTAGTGAGGATTGTCAAGATTTTGTTAGTTGGGCTTGTTAATATTGCTTCTGAGCTTAGGCGAAAAGTTTAGGAGATAGCCCCTTGCTGACACCTTTGTGCAAATTAGAAAATAGTCCTCACTTCCCCCTGGCAGTGGACAGGTCTGATAGCTTGGCAAGTAGAAACCAGTTGATTTTCATTCCCCAGTTCAGTTCCTCAGCTAGGTAACCTTGACCAGAGTACAATTTAGCTAATCACACTCAAGGCTTTTTTAGGAGATTGCCTTCATCCCACCAGAATCTTTTGTTTCTTGCTTTGTCTATCATTTTTTAAAGCTTATGACATAATTATGTATCCTGTTTTTATTGTTGGTGGTGTGTGCCATAGAGTCGATTCTAACTCATAGTGACCCTGCATTGAGTTTCTAAGAGCAGCTGATGGTTTTGAACTGCTGACCTTGTGCCTAGCTCGGTTAGGTTCACTTATTCTACAATAATACAGTGGTTTTAGGTTGTAACTATTGAATTTTTGGTTTTGTTTTTCTTTCCTCTATTTTTTCCCACTTTGTTAGCTAATTGTGACCCTGTACCACTTTGCCATCTTTTTTTGGAAATCATCATATGTGTTTTCATCTTGAATATTGTGAGACATGTTTTTAAAAATCTGTGGTGAGTGTATATATATATATATATATATATATATATATATATATATATGTATTTGAAAACATTTACCATTTCAACGTTTTTAAAATGTACAATTACACTAATTACATTCATCATGTAATTGTACAATCCAATTCCACTATCCATTTCCAAATTTTTCCATCACAGTTAATAAGAACAGTTTTTGATAGACTTAAGAAAAGTATATTCTTCAGTAGCAATAAGAAAAATAATATTTAGTACTTTAGGAAACACATAAATCATTGTTTTATGATGAGTTTTTATTTCTTGATTGTCAATGTTTCTTACTTTTATATTGTCTTTTAACTTTATATTGTCTTTTAAATGTTATTTGAAGTCTGTTTAAAATTTTCTTTTAAACACTGCTTAGGAGTATCAGATTTTAATCTTCGTGTTGCACTGCAAACACTTCTGAAAGAATACTGTGAGGTATGCAAATCTTCCAAAGAGAACAAGTTTTGTAGTTTCCTGCAGACATCCAAGGTTCGGCCTCGGAAGAAAGCAAGAAAGTACCTATATGCAGTAGGTAAGAGGCTTTTAAAAAGTAATAGAAATTATCTTTATATTCAAGATCAAAGCCTTTTAAATATTTTGTTATTACTATACATTTCAAATATGCAAATGTGTCAAATATGTATATTTAATTTCTATAGTACAGACTATAGATTTATAATTGTGTTTATAACATGTTATGGTTAACATATATAAAATAAACAACTACTTATCTAACATTTATTATTCTGTCTGGGTTCTTAGGTTATTCAGCTTTTATCTAATAGCTGACTAAAGAAACACTGTTTTAAAAGTTAAAAGTTTTTATTCTAGTGAAAAATAAAGATAAACAAATTCTAAAAATTTCATTTGTTCAGTGTCATGTATATATATATATATATATATATATATATATAGCAGCTCTAAAGCATTTATTTCTTACTATGAAGTATTTTTATCAGATATTATAGTAAGGGATTTTCTTTTCTTTCTTTCTTTAGGTGGATATACTCGATTGCAGGGGGGTCGCTGGAGTGATAGCAGAGCCCTTAGCTGTGTAGAACGTTTTGACACCTTTAGCCAGTACTGGACCACTGTGTCTTCGCTTCACCAGGCTCGATGTGGCCTGGGAGTAGCAGTCCTGGGAGGAATGGTCTACGCTATTGGAGGTAATAATAAAGATATTTTATTTTCTGTATTCGTCTTGTTGTTGCTGTGAAGTTCCATTGAGTTAGTTGTAACTCATAGCGACTCCATATAGGGTTTCTAAGGAGTGGCTGGTAGGTTTAAATTGCCAACCTTGAGGTCAGCAGTCCAGTGCTTATCCTACAGTGCCACACCAGGACTCCAATATTCATCTTGGCAAATGGTTATCTTCTCAGGACTTTCCTTGCACTTGACAGTGAAATCATGTAGTATTTTAGTATTTAGTTTTGTAGTATTTGCTGATTGGTAATACCCAGGTAGTTGTGATTTTGTAAACCACAAAAATATTTTTTCAAAATCTGGCATGTATTTTATACTCAGTCAATGTAACTGTTATTGATTATGTTAATTTATAATGTTAATTTTCTATTATTGTATTATTTCTATTATTATTATTATAATGTATTATTGATTTATAGATATGTTGAGAGTTCCCAAGAATACTGCTAGTATATTAGAAGGTTCTAGATAGAGTGGGAGAAAAATGAGGAACAAAATTTAAGATCCTAAAAATGGATAGAGACTGGTTTTGGAACCCTAAGATTTTGGCCCTGGAAATTAACTCACTCTTCATGGATCACTTTTCAGTTAAACAATAAATAGATTTACAAGGTGACCAAAAACACTAGTGAGGTACACACTTTAGAATAATCAACTATTTGAGATCAAAAGAGTAGCATATCCCAAGGAGAAGAGAAGGGCTAGGAAAAAAGGAAGAACAGAAAGAAACAGAGAGGAAGTAGGATTAGTAATGTTACATTGAGGGGAATGCAATCAATGAGATGAAACAAACTATATGAATTGTTGAATAGAAAACTGATAACCTGCTCTGTAAATCTTCACCCAATTTACAATAAAAAAGTTTAAACCATTCCCCCTCCCCCCAGTTAGGTGATTTGCTAGTAGGGCTCACAGGATTCATGAAGTATGGAGGAAGCCAATTGAAAACTTCCAAGAGTCCTGTCCCAGTGGAGTCACACTGGACAAGCTTAATTGTGACATGTGGGATTTGTGATCTTCCAGCAAAGTTCACTAGAGGCTCAGTAGACTCATTACAGTCCATTGTTTTTATGGGTAATAGGTCGTATTGTTGTTGTTGTTATGTGCCATCAAATAGGTTCCATCCCATGTGACACTGTACAGGGTTTCCGAGGAGTGACTTTGACCTTGCAGTTCAAACTGACTTTGCGGTCCAGCCCATTCTCCTGAAGTGCCACACCAGGACTCCTAGACATCTTTCTAGCACTTACCAAAATTCCACACTTTCAAAAGGAAACTAAGTGTTCAGTATAATCTATATGGTACAAATGGTTTAGGCACAAATAGTTACTCTTTTTTTTTTTTAAAGCTTTTTGTTGTGAATTGAGTGAAGGCATACAGACAGGATCATCAGTTTTACATCCAACAAATCATACACTTTGTTTCATCTCAATGATTGCAATCTCCATGCAACAACAATTGTCCCATTTCCTCCCTGTGGTTACCCACGGACAAATATCCTCTGATACATTTGTAGGCTATATATGTATATCCCACTCTTTCTCCCATACCCATTCAATATGTATCTCTGTCCGTGTATCTACACACAGAACTCTGTTGTTCCAAGGTTATGTACATATCACTATTTACCTCTAGCCCTTTACTTCCTTGTGTCTTCACCTGTCTTCATCATTCCTTCTGCCAACATTCCTCTTCATGTATATTACCCTCTTGTTGTCACCCAAGTTAACATGTGTCTATCCTTGGAACCTTAAGGTCAGCAGTTTGAAACTACCAGCTGTTCTGCGGGAGAAACCATCATAGAATGTTTCTTTTAGTATGAAAACCTTTTCTTGAGTTTTTACAAGAGGGGTCTCACTCAGGCAATATTTGTCCTTTTGTGATTGTCTTTTTTAACTCTGTGTAATGTCCTCCAGGTTAATCCATGTTATGAAATGTTTTGCAGATTCATCATTATTTTTCACCACTGCATAGTATTCCATTGTGTATAGGTATCAAAGTTTGTTTATCCACTCTTCCATTGATGGGTATTTAGGCTATCTCCATCTTTTTGCTACTGTGCTGCAGTGAACATCTATGTATTTATATCTACTCGTGTCCTGGCTCTTATTTCTTGTGGATATATACCAAGTAGAAGGATTGCTGGGTCATACGGTATTTCTATTTCCAATATTTTTAGCAAGTGCCATACTGTTTTCCAGAATGGGTGAATCATTTTACAGTTCCACCAGCAATGCAGGAGGGTCCCAGTCTTTTCACACCCTTGCTGTATTTGTTTTCTGTTTTTTTGAACTTTGCTATCAGTGCTGGTGTGAGATAATGTTTTGATTTGTATCTCTCTAAGGAGCTCTGGTAGCGTAATGGTTACAAATCTTTTCCTTCTTTCTTGTCTTCTTAATGACTTTTTGCTTTCTTCATGTATGATGTTCTTGATGTCATCCCACAACTCTTCTGGTCTTCGGTCTTTGGTGTTTAATGGAGTATAGTTCTATTCTTACTCTTTTTAGTTCCATTGCTTCTGTTGTGATGTCATCCGTATTATTTTTTATGTGTGGTATCTGCATCTTCTCCTTTTCTTTTGTTACATTTGCCAATGGTTTTTAAGATTTCTTAATCCTTTCAAAGAACCAACCTCTTATCTTGTTGATTCTTTCTATTGTTTTTATGTTTTCTAATTCATTTTTATTTCTGCTCTAATTTTTATTTTTTTTATCTAGTGACTGTACAATTGCTCTGCTAATCTTTTTCTAATTGTTGGACATGTTGTGTTAATGTGTTTATTTTCAGTTCTTCTTTTTGGATGTGTTCATTTATTGCTATAAACTGTTCTCTAAACATTGCTTTTGTTGTGTCTCAAATGTTTTGGTGTCTTGTATTTTTGTTTACAATGAGTCAATCTTAACTCTTAAGTACATTTTTATGTCACTATAGGGAACTGTTTACCAGCCAAGTTTCCAGACCAAACAAGGGTCAATCTTGCAAACAATCTTTTCTAAGGATAGGCCATCTGAGACCTGGTCTTTTAACTCTTTTGCATGGTTGTTGCTAAGTGCCATTGAGTCAGTTCTGACCCACAGTGACCCTTTATAGGGTTTCCAAGGAACAGCTGGTGAGCTTCAACCACCGACCTTGCCACTCAAACCAACTTTGCAGTTCAGCACATTAACCCACTGTGCTACACCAGGATTTTTTTGCTATATACAGTCAAGATTCTAGTCTTTCATGAAGTTATTTGCACTATAAATATCTTCTATTTTTCTGTTTGATCTTTTAATATAGTCAAATGTATTGTTTTACCCCCTTTATGGTTAGTATTTCTTTTGTCTTAAGACATCTTCCTACCCCAAAGTCATAAGGATATATACCTGCATTATTTTATAAAATTTTATAATTTTCCCATTTATACTTCTGTGTAATCCACCTGAAATTGAGTTTTTAGAGATAGTATGAAATAGGATAGTATTGATGATTCAATGATAAAATATTTATCTTCCATGAGAGAGACCTAGGTTAGATTCCTGGCCAGTGCACCTTACTGTGCACCTACCTCCTGTCAGTGGAGGCATGCGTGAGGCTATAATGCTAAATAGGTTTCAGTGTAGCTTCCAGACTAAGATGGCTTAGGATGCAAGGTCTGCTGATCTACTTCTAAAATTCAGCTATTGAAAACCCTATGGATCACAATGGTCTGATATGAAATTGATCATGGAGATTGTACAGGACTGGGCAGCATTTCTTGTCGTGCATGAGTTTGTCATGAGTTAGGGCTGACAACAGCAGCTAACAACATTAACAAAATAGAGAACCACTTTCATTTTCCCTCCACGTATATGTGTATAACCAATTATCCCAGCATAATAGACAGTTTCCCTACTGCTCTATAGTGCCAACTCGGTCATATACCAAGTCTTCATATATCTATAGATCTGTACACAGAATTTCTTTTGTTCCAGTGTTCTCTTTGTATCCCTATTCTAATTAATGCAGCTGGATTATATGTCTTCATAGCTGATAGAGCAGTTTCTTTCTCTGTATTATTCTTTACTGAGAGTGTTTGGGTGTTCTAGCCCCTGTATATTTCTATGTAACTTCCAGAATCAATTTATCAAATCCATTGAAAGATGGTATTTTGATTAATATTACAAAAAAACACGTAGTTAGTTTGTGGATAGTTATCGTCTTTATGATATTGACCTTTCTAATCTATGAACATGATACATGTCTTCATTTATTTAGATATTGTTTAATTTTAAAATATATAAGTTTTATCCATAGAGGTCTTGCACAATCTTTAGTTGGATTTACTCCTAGATATAGAAAGGGTACTTTTTGTTTGTGTGTGCTTTTAAGTTTTTATTTTGAACTGAGTGATAGTTTACATGGGAAAACATTGGTTTTACAGTATCGTTTCATTGCAATGTTTACAATCTCCTCTATGCAACATCATTCAACAGTATTTGCTTCCATTCCCAGTTTTTTTTTGGGGGTGTGTGTGGGGGTGGGGGTGGGGGAAGTATGTACACAAAAACACTCAGGAATATATAATAATTTAAACAACCAAAGAGCTCATTCTGCAAGCCTGCCTCCTGGCCGCCAGTACCCAGTCCCTCTCTTTCCATGAGTCCGAGTCCTCAGCTGTTCCCTCTCTCCATGTCCTCATCTCATCCTCCATCTCTGGTGTCAAGCATTCTGCTTGTGCTCCTCTCCCTTGATAGTCCTAGGGTCCTCTTTTTCTGGATTGTAAGATTAACTACTCCCCCGTTTTTGTTACAGAACTTCTACCTTTACAGTGTGACAGTTGTGATTAGTTATAACAATTACGCACTATTGAATCATAAGAATCTTATCCCCATCTCTTTTGATCAGACTCATCTAGACAAGATAAAAAATATTCAGTGGGGACTCTACCTTCTCCCTCCCACTCTTAAACTAAACTTCCTCTTGAAAACTTGTAAGCCAGTCACTTCATACCTTTATAGGCCCTCCACTTTAGGTAGCCAATGTCTGAGTTGCCCATCCCTATCCACCCTGTATGCAGAGGTGATAGGATTGATACTTGATGTGAAGATTCCTTCCCTCTCAGTTGGTATTTTGAGCTACTATATCCATAAGTATAGGTCAAGTTCATCAAATTATAGCAATTTATACTCATTGCCTTAATTTAAAAAATTGTTTTTTATCTTCCTTTAGTCAAGTTCTGATTATGAAGCCATCAAGGCTAGGTCAAATAGGTACCATCTGCAAGTTTGGACGGTCTAGTGCATCTCCCCTCACTTCATATCAGCTGGATGCTTCACTCTCAGCTCTAATTGTTGTTAAGTGCTATTAAGAAGATTCTGACTCCTAGCAGCCAGCGACCTATGTATGATTTCTGAGTAGTGGCTGGTAGATTTGAACTGCAGAATTTGCAGTTAGCAGTCCAGTACTTATCCTACAGAACCACACTTTGCCTTATAAGTGCTTTTAATAAGTGACTGTGCTATGAATTTAGAATGTCTTCCACCTGAGGAATTTTAATTATCTTATAAAAAGACAACAGGGAATGCTACTAAATACTATATTGTGGTTCTAGAGTTCTGGTGTGACGCTGTAGGATAAGCACTGGACTGCAAGTTTGGTTTGAATCCCATGCTTGATTTGAACCACAAGGTTGGCTGTTGAAACTCTCCAGCCATTCCTCAGAAACCCTGTACAGGGCTGCTATGAGTCAGAACCTACTAGATAGCAATAACATACTAGTTAACAAATCTATTAGCATTAATAACCTCATTTGTATCTCTTTTCTTTAATTCAGGTGAAAAGGATTCAATGATTTTTGACTGCACTGAATGCTATGATCCAGTTACTAAACAGTGGACAACAGTAGCGTCAATGAATCACCCCCGCTGTGGCTTGGGAGTATGTGTGTGTTATGGGGCTATCTATGCTTTGGGTAATTATGCTGTTCAATTTAAGCATATCTGATACTTAAGGGGTGGCTGGTGGTGTTGTAGGATAAGCCCTGATCTGCTAACCACATGATCGGGAGTTCAAACCCACCAGCTGTTTCACAGGAAAAAAGTAAGGCTTTCTGCTCCTATAAAGATTTATAGGCTTGGAAATCCTGTACAGAGTTGCTATGAGTCAGAACCAACTCAATAGTACTTGCCATAACAAGAGTACTTATTATGTTCTGATTTCTTTAGAGATGCTCTGCCCTTCTCATAAGAACCTTGTATCTTTTCAGCTCTCTAAATGTGTATTCTTAAAGGTGAATATTGTCAATTATGGTGTTTTTAGAAGATGTGTCATGATCAGTCAAGATGAGATGTCAGTGAAGCACTTCACTGGCTAGTAAAGCCTCATAATTTCATTAAGTATATAACTTTCTATTACTCTGAAAAGAGACCTAATTATGCCTAATATAAGAAGCATATATAAAACAGAAAAACTATAGAAAGTATCAGCAGGATAAAAAGCTAGTTCTTTGAAAGGATTAACAAAATTGGCAGACCATTGGCAAACCCAACAAAAGAAAAGACAGAGAAAACACAAATAAGACGCATTAGAAACCACATGGGTGATGTCACAATGGAACCAAAGGAAATCAATAGGATAATAACAGAATACTATGAAAAGTTTTACACCTACATGTTTGAAAACGTAAAAGAGATGGATACATTTTTTAAAGAACACAACCTACCATACACAGAGTAGACAGGGGTGGGCGACTTGGACACTGGCTACCCAAAATGGGGGGGCTACAAAGTCAAGAAGTGACTGGCTTACAAGCTTTCAAGAGTGAGACTAGATCCAGAGGACACGGAGGAAGGTAAAATCTCCACTGAGTAGTGTCCAATCTGTCTGGGGAGGGCTGATGAAAGGAGATGGGGATAGGTCTCTTGTGATACAATAGTGAATAATTGTTATCAGGACTGATTGTGAGGGTTGGAAATGTAAAGGTAGATGTTTTGTGGCAAAAGGAGGGGAGTGATTGACTGCAGTCTAGGAGCGGAGGTCCCTGAGACCATCAAGGGAGAAAGGGACCCTACCCAGAGAAGCGGTGATGCCAGAGATGGAGGCAGAGATGATGATGTGGGGAGATGGAGTGGCTGGGGACTTTAGACACAGAGAGGGACAGGGGCTGTGTGCTGACGACCGAGAGGCAGTCTTGCAGGGTATACCCTTTGGCTGGTTGATGATGCATGGAGGGGATTGTAATAATGGCAATGAAACGATATACGATAGGATGAATGTAAAGCTAATGTTCTCCCATGTAAACTATCACATAATTAACAATAAAACAGTTAAAAAAAAGAAAGCACATATTAAAAAATTACCAAAAGGATATCTGTACTGTATTATTTTCGCTGTTATAGATATAGTGAATGATCTTGAGCAAATGATTAACCCTCTCTGATTATCTGTGTAACAAATATTACAATCAGGGTTTTATGAGGGAAAATTTTAAGTTGACTTAGCCCTCAGCCTCCCCTATATTTGACTTGTCATTCCTTCTTCAGCTCACTGTATGGAACATAATGTCTTACTCTTATCAAACCTTTTGTGAAAAAGATCAATTAAATTCATATTGTGTTTTAATTTAATTTAATTTAATCCATTGTGTTTTAACACTCCCATCAGTATTTGTACATTGAAGTTATACCTCTAATTGTAGGAAATAACATTTTCCATTTCAAGAATTAGTGTGTTAAGGAAATACTATTTTGAGAATGAAGGCCTCTTTTGGAGTCTCTGAAATCACAATAAATAGACAGCATAGGAGTCATGGTATGGTGCTAGTCATGGTATGGTGCTAGTACATGGTAAGTACTAGACTGCGAAGTCCATTTGAACCATAAAGTTGGCAGTTCAAACTCACCAGCCACTCCTTGCTATACATGGTTGCTATGAGTCGGAACTGACTCCAAGGCACTTAACAACAACAACAACAACAACAACAACAACAACAATAGGAGTCCTGGTGTGGCACTGTGAGATAAAACATTGGACAGCAAGGTCAGTTGGAACTGCAAGATCAGTGGTTCAAACTCATCAGCCACTCCTCAGAAACCTTATAGAGGGTCGCTACGAGTCTGTACCAACTCAACGGCACTTAACAACAATAACAACAACAAAAACACTTTGACAAAGCTTAGAGTTGGCCTTAAGGTAACCATTCTGAATATGAATATGTTATTGTTAGGTGCCATTGAGTCAGTACCGACCTAATGAACAGCAGAACAAAACACTACCTGATCCTGGGCCAACCTCACCACTGTTGCCACGCTTGAGTCCATTGAAAGGTAGTTTCTAAAATACCATATTCCCCATGTAATATATTGAAATTTTTTTTAGATTTTAGCAAACATTAGACAGGTTGTTAAAAGACCTGAATTGTACTTATGATCAAAGTCTAACTTATCACATGATCTTAGACAAATAGCCTTTCTGGTTCATGTGACGCCAGTTCATATGAGGTAGTTGATTACATGTTTTATAAGTTCTCTTTTAGAAATAAAGTTATTTTATTCCTGAAATAAACATTTCCTGTTTGGTTACAGGTGGATGGGTTGGAGCTGAGATAGGGAACACCATTGAACGATTTGATCCTGATGAAAATAAATGGGAAGTAGTTGGCAACATGGCTGTGTCACGCTATTACTTTGGGTGCTGTGAAATGCAAGGTAATTACTTACAAAATATTTTTACTTAAAATATACTTATATTTTAAAACTCTTTGAGCTTGAGTTTTTCACAAATGTATAATATAGGAAAGTATTAAATAATTCCACCATTCCTCTGTCAGTTTGTCGCATTGTGGTGGCAGTGTGTTGCTGTGATGCTGGCAGCTATGTCACTGGTATTTTGGATGTAGCTGGTCACCCTTGAGTGGACAGATTTCAATTGTGCTTCCAAATTAAGACAGACTTGGGAAAAGAAGAGGTGGACTACTTCTGAATGTTTAGCCACTGAAAACCTTACTAATAATATCAGTGAAACACTGTCAGATAGCACTAGAATATTCAATATTGAAACAAGATAAATAGCACCAGAATACCGTCAGGTATAGTACTGAAAGATAAGATTGGAAGGCACTCAAAATACAACTGGGGAAGAGCTGTCTCCTCAAAGTTGAGTTGTAGAGTTGACCATGATGATATGGAGTAAAGTTTTCAGGATTTTCATTTGTGAAATGGGGCTCAATTCCAAATGAGGAGAAATAGCTACAAACATCCATTAATAATTGGAAAATGGAATGTACAAAGTATGAAACAAGGAAAATTGTAAGTTGTCAAAAGTGAAATGGAATGCATAAACATTGATATCCTCGGCATTAATGAGCTAAAATGGACTGGTATTGGCCACTTGAAATCTGACAATCACATGGCTTACTATAATGATGCTGTTGTTGTTAAGTACCATGGAGTTGATTCCAACTCATAGTGACCCTGCACAGGGTGTCTGAGGCTATAAATCTTTATGGGAGCAGAAAGCCTCATCTTTCTTCCGCGGAATGGCTGGTAGTTTCCAACTGCTGACCTTAAGGTTAGCAGCCTGATTCTTAACCACTACGCTACCATAGCTATGATTATAGGAATGACAAATTGAAGAGGAATGGCATCACATTTCAAGATTTTTCTTGAAGTATACTGCTGTCTGTGATAGGATAATATCCATACTCCTATAAGGAAGACCAGTAAATATCACTACTATTGAAGTTTATGTACCAACCACTTCTTAATTCTGAAAGTGATAAAATATGCAATCAAGATGTATTGATAATTATTGGTGATTGGGATGAAAAGTTACAAACATAGAGGAAGGATCAGTAGTTGGAAAACATGACCTTGGTGATAGAAATGATGCTGGAGATCGCATGATAGAATTATACAAAACCAATGACTTATTCATTGCAAATATCTTTTTTCAACACCATAAAGAGTGACTATACACATGGTTCTCACCAGTTGAAATACACAAGAATCAAGTCGACTACTACATCTGTAGGAGGAAATGATGGAGAAGCTCAATACCATCAGCCAAAACAAAGCCAGGAGCCAACTGTGGAACAGATCATCCATGGCTCTTGTGAAAATTCTGGCTAAAGCTGTAGAGGATTAAAACAACTCCACAAGAGTCAAAATATGACCCTGAGTATATCCCACCTGAATTTAGAAACCACCGTAAGGATAGATTTGATACATTAGACACTAATGACAGAAGACCAGAAGTTGTGGGATAATATCAAGAACATTTTACATGAAGAAAGCTAAAGGTTAGTAAAAAGACAGAAAAGAAAGAAAAGACAAAAGTAGATGGCAAAAGAGACTCTAAAACTTGCTTTTGAGTGTAGAGAAGCTAGAACAACTGGAAGAAATGATGAAGTAAAAGAGCTGAGCAGAAAAAATTAAAGGGCAGTACGAGAAGACAAAGTCAAATATAATTAAATGTACAAAGATCTGGAATTAAAAACGAAAAGGGAAGAACACACTCAGCATTTCTCAAGCTGAAAGAACTGAGGAAAAAATTCAAGACTTCACTTGCAAAACTGAAGGATTCTTTGGACAAAATATTGAATGATGTGGAAAGCATCAAAAGAAGATGGAAGGATATGTTTAGGTAGCATGTCTATATCATTTAAACTTTTACAAGTTATTATTAGTCAGGACAACCACTATTACTAAAATTCATCTTATGTACAGTTATGAGAAATGACTGAAAAGAGAAATGAAGATGCATTACTCATAAATGAGTAAATACAGGATAAGTAAATAATATCTTAAGTAATTTTAAAATGGTATTCCTTCTATAGGGAACTTTTTTCTTTCCACCGGTAGTGGAGGAACCCTTATAATAAAGGCTACTGTGACATGTTCAAGAACAAAAGCCTATCTTGTAAGATAAGCACTGGACTGCTAGCCTGAGGTCGGCAGTTCAAATCCACCAGCTGTAACTTGGAAACCTTATATGTTATTGTTGTCAGGTGCCATCAAGTCAGAACCGACTTATAGCGACCCCATGCACAGCAGAACGAAACAATGTCCAATCCTGGACCAACCTCACTACCGCTGCCACACTTGACACCATTAATGATGCCACCTGGCTGATCCATCTCATTGGGGGTCTTCCTCTTTTTCTCTGACCCTCCACCTTACCCAGCATGACATCCTTCTCC